ATCCAGTTTTTCTCAGTCTTACCCCCAACCCAATGCCAGCCTCATTCTACCACAGTGGCACCATATAGCATTTGTCCCTTTGTGACTGAGATACCTTACTCAGCATAATGTCCTCCAGGGTCACCCATTTTGAATAATATTGCATGAGTTCCTTGTTTTTCAATGCAGCATAGTAGTTGTTTTTATGTGCTATCAAGTCACTTGCGACTCATAGCGACCCTCTGTACAAGAGCCCTAAATCCTGCTCTGTTCTGTGCCAATCTTATTGTCTCTGATACACCTACCCAGTGATAACCCAGTGACTGAATCAATCCTCTCCTGTGCTGTCCCTCCACCTTCCCAAGATGATGTCTCTTTCTAAGGTCCCTCCTTGTAACATGTACAAAGTATGTCAGAGGAAGCTTCAGAATCATTGCTTCCAATGAGCAGCCTGGTTTCACCTTCTCCAGGTTGAATTTGTTTATTCTCCTAGCAGTCCATGATATATTCGACACTCTTCTCCAGCATCAGAGCTCAAAGGCATCGATTCTCTTTCTATCATCCCTAGTCATTGTCCAGCTCTCTGATGCCTAGCAAGCAATTGTGAAGACTATGGCCTAGATCAGGCACATCTTAGTCTACAGACTGATGTTCTTGCTCTTCAGTACTTTGGAGTGGTCCCTGACAGCCTACTTTCCCAGTGCAATTTGTCTCTTGATTTCCTGGCTGCTGGTACCAAGAGTGCTGATTATGGAGCCAAGCAAACTAAAACTGTAAACAATCTCAATCTCTTCACCATCCATAATGCCAGTTGGTCCAGTGGTGAGAATCTTTGTTTTCTAGATGTTGAGCTTCAATCCATATTGAAGGCTGCAGTGTTGACCTTCTGCAGCAAATGCTTCAGGTCCTCTTCAGTTTCAGCAAGCAGAGTTGTGTCATTTGCATAATGCCCGTTGTTGATGAATCTTCCTTCAATCCTGATGCCACATTCCTCCTCATACAGCCCAACCTCCCGGATGATCTGTCCTGCATATAGATTGAAAAGGTATGGAGACAGAATACATCCCAGGTGAACACTCTTCCCAATTTTGGACCGTGCAGTATCTCCTTGCTCTGTTCTGAAGACTGCCTCCTGTTTCAAGTATAGATTTCCAATAAGTACAATCAAATGTTCTGTGATTCCCATTCTTCTCAGAGTCAGCCAGTTTGTTGTGATCCACACAGTCAAATGCCTTTGTATAGTCAATGAAACACAGATAGACATCCCTCTGGTACTTTCTGCTTTCAGCCAAGATCCATCTAACATTAGCTATAATATCCCTAGTTATTACAGCCCCTTCTAAACCCAAGCTGCACATCTGGCAGTTCTCTGCTGACGTCCTGTGTCACCGACCACCCGACCACGGTCGTGACAAGAAACTCAAGGGGTTTCTTGGTGA